ACTATACTATAATAACAACAACAATAGTAATAATGTTAAAAATTATAACAACAATTATTTACAGAAAAGAGCTTACTATGATAATGATACTTAACATGCCTATTTGAAATGGACCTATGCCTTCAATGACTTCATTCGCGTTTGCGACGGGATTTCAACCACAGGACTCAAATATACTCCCGAAGTTTATTGTTTTATCCTTTTATGGCCCATATAAACACAATCTGAAAACCTTATAAAATGTTTGCAAACTCAAATGGACGATCTCCTTTGTATCATACGCAATAACATATCTAATGTGAGGCCCAGTGCAGTATTTCTAGAGATAAAGATATTAAAATCCACTTGTCTCTTTATAAGCCAATTGATCCAGAAAAGTATTCCTCTTCCCCAAATCCGACAGCCAAATTTTTAAAAATGGCATAAAGAGAAACCCTTGAAAAGATTTAGTGTGTATACCGTAAATGCTCGAATAAACGCCGCTCCCGAATAAGCGCCGCACCAAACCTGATTTTTTTTGCTCGTTTGAAGCGCCACTCTCTGATAAACGTTGCGGCGCTGAAATGAGAGTATTTTATTACATAACTTATGCAATGGAACACTTTGAGAAACAGGGTTTTAAATACCATGTATACAGTGTTAAAATGAATAAATAACACAATTAATAACACATAGATAAAAACATAGGCCTTTACAAAGCTTTCATCACACAAGAAACAAAACACGAACAATTGGTTTTAAATATGCCTGAACTCACGAATGGCAAAAATAGATATTTCACTGAATAAAGCAATATACTGTAATTACCCTTTTGAGCAAGTGATTGCAAAGTAACACAATGTGTTAATGTCAGTAAGCAACAATAGGCCTACTAATACTACAAATATATGCCTAACTATTCTATTAGTTCTCATATACATGTAGTGACCTACCCAGTAATTTTTAAGGGGGAACTAAGTACGCAACAGTGTCGACACTGGTTCTGAAAGTGGAACAAGTCTTCTCGATAATGTCTATAAAGTGTACAATTGGCTCATGTGCACTGTAAACAACCCAGTGCATCTTTCGAGACGAGTAGGAGGTTACTCAGTGTACTGGTCCATACAGCTCTTGTTGTGAACAGACGCGTCTTTTAGCAGCTCGCGTATTCTTACCGTTTTTCAGGACTGCTTTAAATGAAATTTAAAATTACAAAAGGTACAGCAGGATATTCTAGATTCCTGAAACCAGACTGACTACCAAGAAAATTGGCTACAATAGTTATTATTATTACACAAATACTTCGAACGATCGTTACTCGAATAATGAGTGGGAGGCCGTTGTTCAACGTTTCGACCTTTATTCGCTCACCTTCAGGAATGAGAAAATACTTTGACAGTGATTAAAAAAAGGCAACAATATGCAAATGAGGGGATTAACAAAGATATAGTATCAAAAGTTTATTTTTAAATGTCCAATTGATGAATTTATTAATTTATTAATATCATTGGTTCAGACACATACATACCCTCCGGGACGAGGAGCACCGATAGAGAACTTAGAGCAACACGAAATGAGAAGCACTGTCTGGAACGTGACGGCTAGTCTCATCTCCATACGTCATACACCTATAATTTAACTTTAAAACACAATTTATAACTATATTATATTAACATGTTTTTTAGTGTAAACCTTAATGTTATCATGCATTGGGGTTAACGGAGGTAAGATTTTTAACGGAAACCACAAGTTGAAATGCCAGGGTCCTGAGGTCGAAATTCCAGAGTCCTGGGTTCGAATCCTGTGACATGACAGCACAGGAATTTTTGCTTGTTGAGTCAATGGCATTTCCACTCCCTAAGACTCCATGCGACTGGAATATTAATGTATCCTCTATTGTACGTAAGCCGGGTCACCCTTTGCAACAGAAGTAGACATAAGAATGGGTCGAGGGCCAAAGTGAATTTTTTATTTAACACTGAGGGCCGCACCAAACTTTTAATGTTTCCAGTGTGCTTCCAAAAACTTTATGGACTACTTTTACACTACTTTATGCCCTGTTCTAATATTACTTTTTACAGATGATCGGTGTCAGGGCGTTAACAAACAAAAAAAAAAGAAAGAAAAAAACCCCCCAAAATCTCAAAAACAGTGTTTTCTTGTCAAATGGGGTTGCGGGTTACAAACATAGAATTTTTAATTTTTTTTTCTAGGCCGCAAAACAAAATCACCTTTGGCCCGCATGTGAGACGCGGGCCACATGTTGCCCACCTATGCTCTATGAGAGAGAAAAAATGGAATTATTATGTAAGCTAGACTAAACTATCTTATCTGTCCCGTTTACTTGCCATGAAGTTTCTTTGCATTCATAAAATGTAATGGCTAATGTTATATATTATTATAAAATAATATATGCGATGACAAACGTCAACAGTGTTGAGCATTTAGTAAAATGTGTCGTTCTTAATAGACCGTTATGATAATGATAAATATTAAATATAATGATAAATAATATTAAATAATAATAACAATAATAGGCCTACTAATAATTTTTATTAGGCCTAAAGGTTAAATACTCCGCATACTGTTTTCCAGTATGTTATTATATTATAGGCTTACTAAACTAATTATCACTCTCTATTACCCACAATAAACCAATACAAATTATTTTAAAATTGTCAACAATTAAAACTGGAATCAATATCTTACCCACTTAAAACACTGCGATAGCGTTTGGATCATCGGTTTAGACTATCGAAATGCAGCTAAAAGTCAGTTTAATCTGCTAACTTGATATTGTCGCTTTTATATCGTCTCCAGTTAGCAAAGAGTGAATGGAAATATCACGTGATAAAAGTTTCTAAATCTATATATATATATATATATATATATTATATCGTATCATGTGATAAAAGTCTACAAAGGTCGATTATTGGGCTTACGTAATTTTTATTTTTAACAATAACTGCAAATTAGGAATACCTATTGGCGCTTTGCATTATTACCCCGTCATTTGAACACGTACGCAGCGCCCTGGTGGGGTATTCCATAATGTTACAGATTTTAATCTGAAATTGGCATTCGAACTTGTAGGTATCAATGTATACTCCTGGGTAACATGCAGATAAAGTCCCTTCCTTGCCCACGGACACAAGGAATAGCCTGACTGAATCACAACTGCTGGGCTAGCTAACAACTTCTACATAATAAACTTTTGTATAGGCCTACTAATGAT